TTACACCACCCTGACCCCCCTGAATCAGTGGCCTCTGGATGGACCAATGTAACAAATCACAATGGACGACAACTCTGTTACACCGTGGTATACTGATAGTTAATGAGACTGTGGTCATCTGAGTAACAAGCACTTGTATGAAATCAGAAACTTTACTTAGGAATGCGACAGTTACTTTTCTTTTCTTTCTTTGTTGGGGGGATACTTTTTTGCACTTACTCTAACAAATGAATCAACATCAATATTGGAAGTTTACAATCGCAACTGATGATTTCAACAGACGGCAACCTACGGAAACCACAGACTATTGACAAATTGACCAAAATACTGCTTCTCTGCCGGTGAGCATTTGCTCCCAATTTAAAAGCTGGCTCATGAGCTCTCTGTACAAGTACTCCTCGGCAGGACAAAGTATTCTTTACACTCCCAAGTTAATCTTATCAATTTGCATGTAATCTGGCCCATTTGTTTCTTATAACCCCTCGGTGGTTTCACTTTGAAAAAGCTCAGTGCAGAGGAAAAAAACAAGCATGATATAAGACATCATTTTGCTGTGAATGGTCATAAGAGCAAATTTAATTCTACAGTAACATCTGTATGGAGTATGACCAAGGATGTGCCCCCTTTTCCGTGTAAACATTGTCGAAATGTAGATACACAATCCATCCGACTGCACAGATTTTACGTAGAATTATTTCTTTCCAATCTTTTGAAACTGCTTTGTCTAAATTGTTTAGAAGCTGTATCAAATTGTAAGGGAAGTCTTTCCACTCCATCTGCTACAAACAGTTTAACTGTCACACAAATGAACATCAACCCATGCATTGGAAAGTTGAGTTGTGTTCACATATGTTTCTGTCTGGGGAGGGATTGAGACAATGTGGATTTCATAATAGAGGGATGAGAAGCGGTTTGCAGTGAGCTTTTGTAAACTGCAACCTCCTGGGCATGAAAAGGCTCTCACACATTTCAGTATCTCACATTTTCTGCTGAATATCCAACACTTGGTCTCTCTTGCAGCTGCATTGTGAATGACAGTCTGTGACAAGTTGCTGCATCCTAGCTACCCGAGCACAAACAGCTAGGAGCATTGATGAGTGTACTCACAAGATCATCAAATTACACGCTTGAGAGAGAGTGACAGAATGGGTCGGGAACATCTCTCTCCTGTACACCTGCTGCACAACAGCAGAGCTAGAAACACAACACTGTATCCTAAGACCCAAGGCATGAGCTGGCAAACAGTTCCATCAGCATCCCAGCAAAACTGCAATGGTGCCCCATGTTGGTGTAACATAGGCCTCACTGCCAAGTTGTATTCCTCAATCTCTCTGCATGGTCTGACCACCAGCAAAATACATTAATTCTACTGTATGTCTATCAGCTCTTACTGTTTGAGTCTAGTCACAGACCCAGTTTTCAGTTTTCAACTGTATCAGTATTTTACTTGCATCCATGAGTTCCGCTTACATTTCTTCCGCAAACGTCCATTGACTTGAAGTCAATCCTCACATCACTTATGTCAGGAGGCAGCTCGCTTCCCGATCTCATTTCTTTGTATATCACAGGTTGACCATGGCGCGCTCACTACTTTCCAATGGAGTCAGTAACCACGAGTTCAGTAACCAGTCCACAGGTCATCACTGAAGTTCCTCTGCATGTCAAAGGCACGGCATTCTTCTTACTGTTAAATACATTTGGCTCTTGAGATTTCAGAGATTTTTTTGGGCTTTGTCCTTCGTTTTTCTTTGTCCGTCTGCCCATCCGTGTACTGGCTTTGGGGCTGTGAGGTTCATTAACAGGTTTTCAGCCTCTCAGTCTTTGTGCTGGAGGACAGGCCTGGTATTCTCAGCCGTTTCTCTGTACTGGCTTTGGGGCTGTGAGGTTCATTAACAGGTTTTCAGCCTCTCAGTCTTTGTGCTGGAGGACAGGCCTGGTATTCTCAGCCGTTTCTTTTTCTTCTTCTCCTCTTCCATTTCCAGGCTGTCTGTGTCACCGTCCGGCTGGGACAAGCTGCTTTTCTTGAAGTCTGAAATAGCAACCAAATCAGGATTTTGAAATAAGACAAAGCCAATTGCAAATCATCAACTTATCACAAAGAGTACTCAAAGTGTTGAGAATTGAATATATCGTGTCTCAAACAGATCCCTTGGCTAAAACAGGAGGTTCCACATAATTTACTTTACCAAATGTTATTACTTTGAACAGGCCTTGAAATCCTCATTTTGCACAAAAGGGTTCCAAGCATACAGATGCTTTTGGTATATTTCCTAATACCCCCCCCAAAAAAAGTTACGGCTTTTCCTTGGTCACTGGGCATTCTTGGTGGAAAGCTGCCTGAATCATCCAAAGCCCATAAATGTATGGAAAATGATCACTCAATGTTTCTGTTCTTAAACTTTGAAGCACCATTGATCTTGGTATAAATCCACAATGGTTGGGCTCTACTTTCCACAATCCTCCAAAATCTCTTCGTGAGTTTTGAAGGACATGGGAAGATCAGAGGTGAGAAACTTGTCAGTGCAAATATTGACGAATGATATAAAGCGGTAAGGCAAGTAATTACTTCCAGGTGCTCTAGCTGTTTTGCGAATTATTAAAAAAAAAGATTTGGGCCGACAGGGCTGGTTTACAACTAAAATGACCAAGGGACCATCTGCAACAGAATGAGGTCATAGTATTTAGGCCTCATCTTCTTTCGTGAAGCGGTTTTTTTATACCAGATGTTAATGTTTACTTTCATTTTCACTGTTGTCATTGTTACAGTTACTTTCCTTTTGAAGTTTGATGCTGGGGGACTTTGTACCTGTTCAGTATTGCATTTTGTAACAGCTGTCTCTCTAAGATAACATGTATGGTCATTCTATAAATTAGGGATCCAATTTCTTTTGTGTCCCTGTCACATCTGACATGATTTCGTAAGTTCAGAACACATTTTGTAATGTCCACGGATGATGAATTAACGCAAATTACCAGCCAAATAAATAGAAATAGCTTGAAATCAATTTCAGTGATACTTCCACTTCAAATTACACAGGTCAGGTGTAAAAGCGACCCAAACACATCACACTTTGGGACCCCAAATTTATAGAATGACCCAGATGTGGTTTTTGAAAGAATGGGCAACTCCACATTTTATTCAGCATACTGTTGTGATTTTCTACCAAAAAAAACTAGAATACACTGATGAAAACGTGGACTTGATTAGTTCTAAAGAAACTACCATGAATTCAGAATATCGGATCTCAAACTTCACCTGAATACTGATATTTTCAACACGCAAAACTTTTGATCTCATACCATTCATGATATTACTGGTATAATTATTTCTATTACATCATTTTGAACTTCCAAATGGAGCCCAAGTTTCTTCAAAAATGTGAAGGGCCTTGACGCTAATGTGCCCAAGAAAAGCTGCTAAGAAAACCTTTACCTTTCTTGGCCTTTCTGTTGTCAAGGCCCTTGGGCGAGTCGGTGTGCCTCTTGCCATTTTCTGCACTGCTGGCGACCAGGCTCGCCAGGGCATTCTCTGACTGGGATACGTGCAGAGTCTGCGGCTGGTGGCTGTGGGAATGACTGCTGGCGGTTTGGTTGTGCTCAGGCTGTACGGGGGGTGAGTGGGCTACTGCAAAGTTTGAAGGGCTTTGGAAAGAATCAAAGTTGACGATCAAACTTGATGTTCATTAACAGGAAGTGCAATGCATGTCTGTGAGCCCATTAAGCTGTGTGTACGTACATGTACATGTATTTATGTAGACACTTGAAGTAAACTACAATTTTAGCATTAATCAGCTCTGAGGGGATTCCTACCACACACTGACTGAACTCTTAGTTTCATGTCATTTTTCTCAACATTTTTGCTTTCAGGTTCACTTGTTTATCTCATCTTGAGACTGGCAAAGGCCAGATTATATGAGACAGGGACAAAAACTAAAAAGGTGGTGACTTAAAGATCACATAACAGGCAAAACCACCAATACAACAGCTACACAATATCAAATATTACTCAAGTTCATAATGAAAGAATTAAAAAGCTAAAAAGGAATTAAAACCAGAAAGGTATCATTTTTTAAATATATATTAGATTTATCAAATATGGAACTGGGCTTTGGTGAAAGAACAGTACCTGTTTCTTGTGTGCATTCGGGATATTTAATCACCATTTCTGAGGTTCCAACTAAGACACTGATATGTACATCGCAGTATTTATTCTCATTTTGATGCCAAACCCTTCAATGAACTCAAGACAACACTTTTCTTCAAGTCCATCTGAGCCAAAGGTGTCAAATGCTTCCACATATGAAACTGTACTTATCAGCACAATCGGTACATGGTCTACAAGAACAGACTGATAATTCTACCTTTTTCTCAAAGTTTCAAGGCAAAAAGCCAAAGCATAGTTATGATTTATTGATTCTTCTCAACTCTGTTACGGAATGAATAAAGAATTCTACCTTTTTCTCAAAGTTTCAAGGCAAAAGGTCAAAGCATAGTTATGATTTTATTGCTTCTTCTCAACTCTGTTACAGAATGAATAAAAATGTTATCATGGTCACGACGGAACTTCAAGCCAATCAGAACACTTACAGCTAATGCCAATCATGCTAAATGCGAGCAATGTACCTTGATTCTCTTTGACCCCAGCTCAGCAGAAAGATCTTTTGCTTCAGCCATGAGACACGGGTGGATCCTCCAAATTCCAAATGCCACTTGAATATAGTTAGATTCCTTGGACTTCAAGTGAAATAAGGGAAGGAGGTATCAGCAACTTACTCATTAAGGTACGTTCTACTCCGCGGGGATGGGGTCCTGGCTTTGGGCATGGCAAGGTTGGAGGGGTTCATCTGGTTCAGTGATGACCCGTAGCTGGCAATGTTGTTGGTGCTCTTCGACTTCTTCATGCCAAGCTGGTCCCCGGACAGAGAGAGAGTACTGGATGTGTGGGACTGGCGAGGCAGGGTGCTGCCTGAGAAATGACAAGAATAGAGGCTGCGTCTGGTTTGCTTGTCTGAAGCACTACTATCGTCCAGCCTCTTAAAACCATCACAAGACCCCACCACATGAGCAACACAAGACTATCAGTCTGACAACGACACTGCTCCAGTCTTAGTCTTTGCTAGCTGCAGATAATTGCCTACGCACTGACGACAGATGTAGCCGCCCACAAAATCTGTCTCCCACCCTAAACACTTTGTCCAATATCATCACAATGTACGTGTATTTTTTTCCTGCAATATGCCTTCAGTTTTTCGAGCACTGCTGATAATTTTGACATCACTACAAATGACCACAAATGACCATGCCTATCTCAGATTGAATTTAAACTTCACAAATGTACTCATAATGAACGTCTGTACAAAGAAATGCTAAGTTTATAAAAGATCAGGCTTGGGAAAGCCAAGTTAGCTATGTCCCCCCCCATCCAAAAAAGTCCAACTGCTTCTAGGATTACTGTCTACAAAATCAACAACACTAAGATCTTGAACCCATCACTGGACCAGGCACTTAGCTATATGAAAGCCAGGCAAGGCTTGTAAAAAACTGACAAAAGTGACTCACTGGCATGCAGCGCCGACAGGTACGTTGGTGGGGGTGGCATATCTTCGTCACACTCATCTAGCCCCATGGGGGCATTGGCCTCCACGTGAGCTAAACTGCCCACCACCATAGCAGCACCAATGGAACCTGTTACACAAAACAAAACCAAAAAAAAGAACGAGCTATTAAGAATGAGCAATTCAAGAAGTGCCCATAGCCATCAGAATTCTTTTCTCTTCTTACTGAATATACCAAAGAATGCATGGTATATTCCTTCCCATGTTTCTAAGATTCCCCATGGAGGACGTGGAGTATACACTGAATAAGGGAATGCAGGGTTTTCATGACAGGCCATATTGGGTGACAGCAGGGTGCACTGCAAAGACGGCCCACCCAAAGCGAAAGCAAAACTTCAAGGTGTTACATACAGTCACTCTGAATTCATCAACAGTAACATTTTCCTGTGCGAATCTGCATTCTGCAGACACATTTTTTATCCAGAATTTCAATGATTGGCAGAAACCTGATTCAACAGAGTTCCATATCATTACAAAGCTCTTTCCTCTTTTCCATTCGATGTCACTGAAAACTGAACACTTGAACTTTCCAGATAACATCTACATGTACTTCATGTTAACAGGCCAAAACTTAGTTGTTCAACTTTGGCAACAAAGATACAGCTACTTTAGCTTTATTAAAAGAAATAAAAACCTGACACTAACCTACTACAAGTAGGAAACACAACCTCTATAGCCCTGACTACACAGCCAGGCAGTACCGCTAGTTGACGTTCAACCCAAACAAATTTGAGAATTATTTCTCACAGGTCACAAATTCAGACCTCGTCCATTATCAAGGGGTACCGTAACTCCCCTGAAAAAGATGTCTGATGATCACACGCCTTCAAAACTGAAAAAAGCATTCCAATGTCTATACAAATGTACAGGAAAACACTGATGTATGAGAGGCCATAGCCTACATGTAATGAGACCAGTTATTCCAATGGAAATATGGATGCAAATGGAGATGGGCATCTATGAATATATTCTAACTGTCCCACACCCTTAAATATCTACACTGAAGTTTGGAGAATTCATCGGGACAAAGGGCTTCAATCTCCTTCTGAAGTACTGGGGTACACAGAATGTGCCACTGGTATCCTGCACAGAAAAGGAACTTAAAGGATTCTGAGAACTTCCTGGCAAAAATACTAGAGGTAAGTTGTTCAAAGGTTTGCAAGACTGATGCAGGTGACTTGACCTTAAATATTTTTTTATAAGTGTTTCCAGGGCAGCTTTTACCATACATGGTGTGACTTTAAAATGTGGACGGAAAATACGGGTAGATGCGACTACAGCCCTATGTGTCCCACCACCATTTTCTAAGGTGTGCTACAGTATATGACGCTACATAATAGCTACAGAAACCTAAGACCGTCCAAGTCAATGAGGGATGGCCACATGGGTTGTTAGTCTGCATCTCAGAACTCAACACTTTCAACAGAATCAAATTAAAAAAATCCAAAAGAAAGTAACCAAGATCTATTGAGACAATTAGGAGGTTCATATTCCTCTATTAGGAAAAGGAAGATGACTTCCCAAGATGCAGGGAATCAAAGCTGTGTTAAATGAACACGTTCATGTGCTTCAGTTGATAGCCAGGATTTGTACTGTATTTTTATGCACAAGATATCAACCACAAAAAAACTTCCCTTCTGGGATGGATTACATTTATCTTCAAATTAAACATGTAGGACCACAACTGCGACACTTACTGATGGGGAAAGCTTGGGCCAAAAGAAGGCAAGTGTGCTTTGGGCCTGGTTCAAGGCAGCAAATAATGTTTGAAACCAAACAGGACAGAATGCGGAGGCACGCATGGCAAACTTCACGATCATGCATCCTGTACTTCTGCTTTTCAATCAAAAAGAAAGCAAGGAAAATCCATTGCACGGCAGGCGAATCTGGATTACGTAAAGTTTTACGGAGATTTTTTAGGGACATTCTAGACATGAACATGCCACGTTGTAGTCAAATTTACCAAGTAAAACCGATGGACCAAAATTGAATAACTGGGCTTTAAATTTAGAAGAGATCTATTTTGACTCAAAACCTGATGAAAATGCCATCATGCGTTGTATTTGCAAAATGCAAGCCGGGTCCTTCGGCAAACATTGGGGCATTTCTTGTACAACTCCGTAGGGTGTCAACTCATTTAGAGTACTCAGCCAAAGCAGTCATGGTACTTGGCCTTTATCATATTTTGGTCTGATTTGGATCTCCAAAAGAGACTTGACCACAACACTGCGCACATGCAAATGCCCATGAACATTCCGTAAGTTATGAGCTGACATGCACTGATTCAGCATGCTCTTGGAGAGAAGTACATGTACCAACCCGAAGACCTGGCCAATTGTATTTTAATTCCTTTATGTTGCCTGGATTTCAAATAAAATGTGAAAATAAGTGCGGCTTTCAAATCCAGGTATTTTCAATACATTTAGGACAGAGATCAGCCACAGGGGATGCAAATATCTTTCAAGGCAATGTCTTCGGGTACATTCAGAACTGTTAATTTTTCGGAAAAGCGACTTTTTTGACACGCACATCTATCACAACACTCAGATTATCAAGTCTAGTAAAACTTCACCGTAATATCAATTAACAACTGATTTTTAGTAAGCCTGAACAAATATTTCTCATTACATCAAACACACAAAATAAAGAAGTGTTTGAAACCACCTAAACAGAAGAAACAATTTACAGGAGAGTTTCCCAGTGAAGAATGAGCTGAGAAGGGAAAAAACAATGAACTAAATCTAGAGAGTTAGGCCCGAAAAGGGCGATCAGAGGTTAGAGAAACAAACGGTTCCACCGATGCGGATGGAGGCGACGACAAGGTGCAAAAATAAAGTGTGGAATGGAAAACTCGTACCTCCAAACGCAAGGGCACTCCTCACAGACTCTGTAGCGGTCGGGTGTGTACAAAAAGCAGTCGTGAATTAAAACCTTGATATTTGTTGTCAGGAAATATATACACCTGGTGTGTTCACTGCTCACTGACAGGCCTTCAGGAGCAAACTATACACAATTTGCTGTGTAAGAGCGACATTGAAGTTCCCTGAAAAAGCAATGTTACCCTTCTGCACTGGCAAGATGAAGCAATTCTGGTGATCTACTGGGTTAAGATCAATGCAATTACTAATGGCTATCTGTGAACAAGTTGGAAGACATCTGCACTTTCTGCCGAGGGGAAACCACATGAAGCCAGGCGATAGACTTGTTCACTAAGAGCACTGCCCAGGATGTTGCGGACTGACAAACTCTTTGTGGCACTCTGCAGATTCCTAATGGGCCCAATTTGTTCTGAAGGAAACACTGCCAAGTCAATTTCTGTGCTAAGTAGACATGAGCAGAGAACAATGGCTGGTAATATACTTTGCATGGCAGTTTGGCTGCTAACCCATTTTTGCTAAGCAAACATTGTTTGTGCTTAGCAAATTTCTGAAGGCAAAGCTTTTCTAATAATACACATTTGTCAGTGGAAAAAGCAATGCGGAAGCGATGATCATCTAAAGTCAACAGGCCTGATGTGTACATTAATGCTGTCACATTATTTGACTTAAATAGCAATTTGGAAAAATTAGTCATGTGATTAACCACTTCCTGCCAGGGAGCCTGGTACCGGAGACCTTGGCCATATACACATGCCCAGGGTGTCTGAAATCGGAACTTTCTTCATAAAAAAAAGAAGCTGCTTGGCATTTTGAGAAAAAGTTTACTTGCTGTCAGTCAGCTGTTGGGACTTTCTGGGACTGGGAGTACTGGCCATTTTTAGCAGAGGTAATCCATTGTTGTTTTGAAACAGTACCATTGTTTGCCACTGCCAGCACCCGCGGATTATCAGCGGGAAAAAAGCTCTCCAGCACTCCAGTGATGAGCGATACAATACCATGGAATCTGGCCACAGACAGCACCGCCATCCAGCAATGCACTGGGCCAACTTCAAGAACAAGGAGGATATTACGCAACACCACACAATGGGGCTCTTTACTGGGCTGCAGGCGTGGCTGCAATACTCACACATAGATGGAGGTCGCCTGTCAGATAAGACTCACCACAAGACAGTTATTTGTTTGGGTGTAAACGTATGTGTCCAGTAAATGAAGATACGAATTTTTGAAGAATTCTGAAAACGGAAAAATATGAAAAAGCGCCTGGGAGCGGGTGATGCATGCCGCTATCTCCACTTGGCAGGAAGTGGTTCTTCACAATGGTGGATTTGGGAGGAATCAAGGAAGTCTTTTCGCATAGTGTCTGGAAGTTGGAGTTGATAAGCCACTACCAACAGGATGACTAGGGGTTCCTACTCACTTGTGGAGGAATCGGGCATGGTGACCCCTAGTGTGGTTATTAAATGATGGATGCCGGGGTTATTGACGATATTGAAATCGCACAGCCCTTCCACCATCGCCCAGCGATGTAACCGCTCCTTCAGCTCTGTGGTAACTTCTGCTAGAGCGGACCTGGAATCAAGTGGTGAATTTGAGAGACAATCATCCTAATCAAACAATCAAGATCACATCATTTGTTTTTTACGTTCCTTATTCCACTTCTACTGTACAGTCAGTAAACTGTCCTTGAGGCATTCGACCCAAGTTTTTTTTTATTTTTTGATTGGAATTTCTGGATTCTCAAAAGTCTTTCCACAGCTTCAGATAGCGTGTAAGAATGGCCAGGATGTCACAGCTAGTATAACCTTTGACTTGGAACCAGCTGATTTGAATTTTCTAAGCTAGACACTCAGGGTGCACAGGAACTGTAAGACAACGTCGAAATCATATGATTAGCATGAATACAAAGCTCTCTACATACGTGTGAGGACTTTACCTTGCGTTGACTATTCTCGCATCTACATCATCTAGAATGCTTCCGTGGGCAATACGGAATGAACCCATGAAGGTGCTTCGCTTTTTTCTGATTTTCTCCACCTGCGGAACAGAAAATTAAAGCCTTCAGGTACTGTTCACAGAACACAAAGCTTTTGTTACAAGCACAAATAACCCATGAACTTGTTTTTTTTTAATCAAAGGTAGTTCACTCTTGAAACTGCTTTCAAAATCTAACAGTCGTTTGTTTTTTAAAATTTCATTTCTGGCAATTATAGTTTCACCAGTGCTTGCCCGAAGCCAGGTAAGCACTTTACAATCAATTGGATTTGCTCCCCTGTCAACTCACCACATCTTTGGCTTCCCTGAGCTGCTTGTCTGCCGAGCTCCTCTTAAAGGTGTAGTATTTCTTCTCAATTTCGTAGGTCAGCTGCAGCCACTGCTGCAGGGATGGTGGAGGGCGCCATTCGCTGCCACTTTCTAGCCGCCTCTCAGCCTCTTGCAATGCATTCCGCAGCTGACCAAAAGAACAAACAGATTGAGTTGAAAAGTGATTTATCGAGCAAAGGGAGTTATGAGCGTTGATCAGTACGCTCCACCCTAGAGGCCAGTTCAAATTGGCACAAAGCAAACCTGAATGCAGATTTGCGACGTCAGATCAAATACTCGCACTTTAAATTCTGAAAAGTTGCACACATGTCAATCTATGGCAATAGTTCACTACAAGTATTTGTTGTCAAATTTGTTTTGCTTTCACGCTGACCTGAAGTATGAACTGGCCTTAAGGCTGATGACATGACATGCAAGAAAGGTGGAAAGCTGTTGCATGATAGATTCTGCAGTTAACAATATGCTGTATACCGGTAACTGTATTGAGCCATTAAAGGCTGATGTTCATCCAGTACACTGCACAATACAACAACGCGCACTGTTGCATTCAGTTGATTTGAGCAAATACTCATACATGTAGCTTTCACGGATTAGCTGCATAGTGTAAACCTGCCGGGGATTGTGGTTCTCTAAATGGATAGGAATTTGCCACTCTTTGCCATAACACCAAACTTTAATCACATCCTTCAACATGAAAGACACCAACCTTCACCCATCAACCAAATCCAGGCCTATGCCGGTCAAGCCAGAATTACTGGAATGAGTGGCATGACCTCTGCATAAACAGCTCTCCACAACACTTAAAATTACATATAAATCTTCAACATTACATACTTTTTAAGTGGCTCTTAAGAAAGAGCCTGGTCCAAGGATTAAGTGAAACGACATGCTTAGCAAAAAAAGAAATGAGGGCCAGTTACGCAAAATGATCAGCATAATGCTCAGGCTGGTAATCAGAGTTTGCTCGGCAAAGTTGTTCTGTGCCTTCAGCAGCTTTAGGAAACTGTCTCAGACCACTTGAAGAACAAATTTATACACCTTTGTACAGAGTCACCTTGTTTTAAAACGTGACTTTCAGTAATTGCTTAAAGCCATATTTGCCATATCCAAATCAACTGGCTACGGCTAGGAGTAACACATGCCCTAGTGGGACATGACTGAGGCAGCAACAAGTCACTTCCTAAGTCAAGTGCATTATTTCCAGCCCAAGCCGTAATCATTCAGATGCGGCCCTCTCACCTGCGCTAATTCCTCTTCGGCCAGCCGCAGTTTCTCCTCCAGTTCGTCCTGTGTGTTACAGCCCCCTCCGTCTCTTGTGTCAGCCTTCCTAGCTTCCCTCAACCTCTCTGCCTCCTGCATGGCCCGCGATATCTGGTCCGTCAGCTTGGCCTCGATGGTCTGCTTCTCCCGGATGGCGGTCTGGTGTTCCTCCTGGGCTTTGTCCAATCTGGAAACCAAACAATAATAACAACAAAAAGTTCTTCATTTATAAAGCACAATATCATACAGGTTCAAAAGTACCATACAACGAAATGGACTAAACATGGTCCAGCCAATGGCTCACATGGGCGCCTCAGGCAGCCGCCAAATGACTCACATCCACCTACATCTGTAAAGATGAGACAGTAAGAAGCAATTTTAGAGATAAATGAGAGAAAGAATGAAACGAATGAAGGGATGAAACAAGAGGAAAATTTGTCATTTCTTGAGGTACTAGTATTATAAACATATTTTAGCACACTAAAAACCAACCTTCATGTACATGTACTATATACATAAAGGTGTAGGGTTATGAGAAAAAACACTTAGGGAACCTGGGGAATGCATTACAATAATGTACCAGTCCTGTTGAAACAGGTTGGTCACACATGTACACATACATGTACCGGTAGGTTGCAGGGAAACCAGAAGAACCAGGCAAGGAGTTCCATCCAAGTTCACTAAGCTGAAAGGAACTGCTGGAATATCCATTTATATTACATGTTCATGAAGCTGCTACACTGTACATACATGTAAGTAGATGAAGCAGGAACAGGTGGAAAGTCAAGTTGGCTTAACTTTCATGCCAAACTGTGTGCCCAGTGTCACTTTTGATTACACATACATGTACTGGTAGTATCCCATATATGCCAAATTCTAGATGCTTCCAAACACCTGGATTTCAATAATGCAAGGAGTCCCTGCAGGACCTACACTGTACATGTATGGACACCTGATGTCCTAATAGGCATATAACAGAGAAGCTGAAGTTTCAAACACTGAAGATAATCTGAAAGTTCCACAGTTGTAGTTTAGAAAACTATATGTACATGTAGGAGAATACCGGTAAATGTGTCTACATGTATTTTAAGAGCCGAAGAATAATCTCTAAGGGTATAACAGGCTCCGCTTTGAAAACAGGTGCAAGTGATTATACAACTACTAAAGTACCGGTATGCTAGGGTTTCCCGGTACATACAATACACATTGTGCTTCAGTTTAATTAAAATAATTAATTAAATAAATTAAATAAGTACATGTACGCTGATGTATGCATGCACATGTACATATTTGTATCTACATGTAAAACTCTGGAAAACCACAGACCAATCGGCAATGATACACCATTGATGCGATGAATTTTTCTCTTTAAAAGTCCCAATGACTTTATATTCATTTCAAATGAATGTGTACTGGTATTTTCAGTAATTTCTGAAGGTGACGTCTGTACAGATTACATGTACATTGTACATGTACGAAGGGAACTACATGTACATGTACTCCATGGAAGTTTCTGAACATGATGCAATCTGGCAGATGCACGTACATGTACATGTACATGTGAGCTTGAACCAGTGAGACTGTATAATAGAGGATTGTTCTGCTTATGCCATTACAGGACTGCGGAGACGGCACAGTATTTACCCTTTGAATGACCCCCCCAACGCTACACCCATCTGACAATGTCTGGATAGTGATCCATGCTGCCTGATCTATTAACATTTAGGTCCAAATAGTCAGTTTCAATTTCGAGGCCTGATTCACACACACAATGCCGTGTAAACTGCTAAAGAAAACAATGCTATTGGCTTCCAAGGTTTGCCCCGACTGTTCCCATTATGGTTGCATTTGGTCTTAAATAACAACACCGGTAAAAAAAAACTACCACTCATCAAATAATTTTATTATATATGTATGCTCTTCTGCAATAAAATTCTCCAGGCTTCTGAACTTACATGCAACATGGTATGCCAGACACAGCCCTTATCATAGATTGTGATAAGATACTATAGCACTGTACAGTAAAGTGTACTTATCAAAGTACGTGCACATGTATGTATACCACACAGCTGGTAAGGGTTTACATATGTATAGTTTTTAGATATATTTTTCCCCATCATTTCCCACAAGTGTCTTTCAATTAATATTTCCAAGCTTATTATATTTTCAGTAGGAAAGATATAGATTACATACAATACCGGGTGTTTCCTAAATGTACAGGTATACCGGTCCATGTACATCAAAATGTCTTCGTAATTATGCCTTTTTTCCCCTGCAAAACTCAGAAATGCACCTGTGCCTAAATTAAACTTGTTTTCAATTTTCGTTCAGCTATTTCCAAGGGTACCGGTATATATTTCTGTACCGGGTACCTTTTTGGAATTTATGCCGACTACTGAAACAGTATATTGGAAACAACCCTCAATGTCTGTGTACAAGAAATGCTGCAATTGATCATATTCTGCCAGCTTCAGTTTCCTTTCTTTAGTGACGCATTGCTGCTTAAGTGCACGACAAAATAAGCAACCCATTCCCGGAATGTTTAGTGTCCTCCCATATTGACATCGCCGCAACACAAAGGTGGATGCATGGGGGCCAAAAAACCAGAGGGGAAAAATGAGTGAAAGATACATGTACATGTTTGGTCTGTTTCCTTTCTTTCAAAAACCATAGATCCACTAAATATAGCTCCGCCCCACAGGAAGACCATAAGGCCTAAGGTTACATGAAAAAATTTGTTAGCCCCGCCCAAAAGCCAGATTGCCCCACCCTCTAAAATTTGGTACTGAATCTAATCTTGCAGCAACAAAACCCTCAATCCTCCCAAAACCATGGACCATCGAAATGTTTAAAAAGTGAACTTTTCAATATAAGCAACCCTAAAGGGATGCCAAATACACATGTACAGTAGATTTTATACAAAGGAAATACATGTACATATTTGTAGGTATACAGCTGCACAAAAAGCATGCGAGAAAAATTCATCACAAGACCCCTTTAGCCTATACATGTACAGGTACATGTACATGTGCGTACCTCGCACAGCGAGGCAGAAAATATTGCACATACATCAGTGACATGGAAATAGCTAATGAGATACATGTATGTAGTCACGCTCTATTTCCATGCTAAGAGAGTAAAAAATGATTACAAGTGAAGCAAATATATAATTTCTCCACACTCTTGCCGACTGTTGCCCGAAGAGTTAAAATCTCAGTCTGAGGAACTGTATTACCATTGGTCAGAGTAATAACAGTAAGTACAGTACAGCCAAGTACATGTACATCTATAAAAAAAACTGCCTTTACCAATTTGTCTTGAGGCATATTGGTAACAAGCTGTAAAGCATACACACATGTACATCTATTATCGTGAATTACTGGCTTATTGTTAGAATGATCATGTTTCTGTGGGTATCCTATTTCTAAGGCATTATTCATTGCCGGATACAGTATCTCATTTTCGACAGGCTCGTTTGTTATTTTTCATAACTTCAATGTCTGTACCTCATTAAAATCCAATCATGATTATCTGTGCATAAATAATTTAATTTAATTTAATCTAATGCTGCTTGTAACAAGGCATACATGTAGATGTATAGTTCCTGAGGGTGGCAGAAATTGTAAACCAAGTGGAAAGGGAAAACCTTTCTCATAATCTGCTCAGTGTTCTCCATTCTACAAAAGTGTATGTGCATGTACATATAGCCTGGCATGCAGCCCCACCAAGTTTTGGTGGTTCTCCCATCATATATTTTTGAAGGTTCCGTGACCACAAATACCGGTATCTCTCATATCTGACCACCAAAGTTCAAATTTTGGGTGCAACATACATGTACATGTAAATTCTGGAATGTTTCATCTTACACGGCATTATCTTGTCAAAGAAAATGTCTATGAATACAATAAGTGTCTGAAATGGCTTCCAGGTTTCGCCCAAACATTCAACCTGTAAGATATCTCCTACAACAACCACTTTAGACCGGAACTCCAGAATCATTGACAGGTGCATACCGCTTTTTCAGGGGGGGGAGAGCACCAACAGCTGATAAACTGTGGTAGTATTTTGAAAGAATTTGTTTTTCATGACCAGCGCAGTCTTCATTTATACAGTACATGTACAATTGACATCAATCAACCAGTACATCCAACTTCAGGTTTGGTTACATCAAACAAAAATTTGTTCTTTAATCATGCACCTGTATATTTTGGGACACATCTGGAAGGGTTTTGATACAAACGTGTGTACATGTCCTGGTAAGTACTGTTACAAGTAAGTACATTGTACTGGTGCATGTACATGTACAGTATGTATCCTAAGGACATTCGTATTGGTTTCATGCTAAAATAAATTTCAATAAATTTGACACGGACACATACATGTACATGTACATGTACCATACACTGTACATACATACATGTACCTGTTCATGTACCGTACATGTAGGTCAGAATATGATAGTACATACCATGAACTGAGCATGTGATTGTGTCTATTATTTGTAGCATTCAGGCATGTCCATGGATAGAATATGATTCCGGCACATGTACATGTATTTGAAGAAAATGTTCAAAAAGAGAGCATTCATCTGCAAACAGATGTGCAGAGAATGTTGGCATAACCTACATACATATGTAAATATGTCCAGAAGAGTTACAATGATACATGTACAATGGATCTCAAACATGATGTACAAGTACAAGCACACAGTAATGACCACATGTACTGTACATGTAACGTATATGTACTGGTCACCGTATTCAGCACTGTTATGGCCAAGCGCCTTGCATAAATGGACCCCTTAAGAATGATCAAACCCATGCACATTTGATATTCATCAACTGAAAAGCATACCAAATTTTGCTAGTTTCATTTTCCGATACATGTAGCTGTGAAACTGCCACAGCTGCTATCAACAAAGAGTGCCGGAACATGTACACGTATGTACTTCATACACGTGTCAATACCGGAACCCATTCCAGTACGTTACCCTAATGCACACTCACGCAGCCACTTCCCGGTACTTTATGGGTGTTTTCTCACCAAGTGCTTGAGATTTTACTGACATTTGTAAATATTTGCCATATGGTTCATATTTGGGAATGCTGATCACTAATCATAAATGTACATGTAGTACACTGCTATGTGAGTACCATGAGGTTTTTCATATAATGGAACAGTATTGCA